TCATACTTAAGAGCAAAAGCTAATGATGACCAATTATGATTGGTTCAGACAGAAACGATGAGAAGCGACCAAAGCGATGAGAAGCGACCACAACGCGATCAGAAGTGAGCAAAATAAGGTTTCTGCTTGTTCCGAATGGAAATTACTCGTTCCGAATGGAAATTACTCGTTCCGAATGGAAATTACTCGTTCCGAATGGAAATTACTCGTTTCCCAAAGCAATGAGAACCAAAGCGATGAGAAGCGACCAAAAGTGAGTAATTTTTTTGGGGGCCGAATCTTGGCGCATTTTTTCACAGCTGGGACTTTGGCGAAACGGGCTCGCTGAAAAAATCTCAAAACAAATAATACCGGTAACCATCAACGACACAAAAGACAAAATGAAGTTTTCTTCTCTCTCAAACACCTTCCTCTTGTCACCAGAGGTGGCAAGAGAAACTGCATTGGGGTTTCTCACAGGCGTTCATCCAGAGGGGGGGCAGCCAGCCAAATGGCAAGAAGAGATGTTCACAGCTCACTATGGAAGTTCTTTGCTTGTCATCGCAAACCAATGGTTCAATCTTTGTCACACCAACATTGAAGAAGCGAAGCTCACAGCAAAGGAGGAGACTGCTGAAGGTTTCAAGCGATTTATGATGGCCCACTTTTTTATGTGGCAGTACCCAAAGAACGCTCCAACCTTTGGATCGCGATTTGGAGTTTGTGAACGTTTGTCTTGTGGCGACCCTGTTTTTCATTGGGTGAACAAGATCGCAGCTTTGCATGAAAAGCTTATAGTGTGGAAGAAGAACCTCGATTCCACCTTGACCCAAACACTTGTGATAAGCATTGATGGAGTCAACTGCCGAACATGGGAGAAATCGAACGAGCGCTACAATATGGACACACAAGAGTGTTCACACAATTTCAATCATGGGGCTGTGAAATATGAGGTCGCAATGTCCCTTCTTGAGCCACAGCGTGCCTGGATCAGTGGGCCGCATAAGGGAGGGAAACACGATCTTACGATCTTTTGAGAAGGAGGTCTGAAGCAAAAGCTGAAGCGGTGGAAACAGGCAATTGTGGATAGGGGTTATACAACCAGCGAATAAGACGAAAAATACATCCTTTGTATCCCAAGAGAAACCGATTCTGTGACGCTCAATGAATACAAGGGAAGAGCTAGACTTCGACACGAAAGCTTCAATGGTAGGTTGAAAAAGTATATGATTCTTGACGCAACCTACAGACATGATCAAAAGCATCATGGAAATGTTTTTAGAGCTGTTGCAGTAACGGTGCAGTACCAAATGAACAATGGCGCTCCCATCTTTGAAGCTCCAATGCAAAGAGAATAAGTATTCAATAAATACCATAGTAGAAACGATTTAATTGAAGTCTTGAAGTGTAACCCGTAGGAAGCATTTGTACTTTCAATACTAGACAAGCAGATCGCAAAAAATCCGGCTGGTAAAACTGATACTAGGACATAGTGTTATTGTCATGTTATGTATGATCCTGTTACACGATCAACAGGATGAATTGATCGACAATTTATTGCATATTGATCCTACGCTGCTTTTGGAGCTCGCATCTTTGCATCGATGACTTGGAGGACATATCCCATCATCTCTGCCTTGTCCTCGTCACTGGCATAGTTGACTGCTCGCATCAAGTTGCGCTGTTCTATTGTTGGTTTGTCCTCCTCGATCTCCTCCGTCCCCATCCTGTCGTCTGCGTCAACAGGATTTTCCTCGTTTGATTTGAGTTCAGCACGAGTTGTATCCAACATCTCGATCTTGTGTTTCTTTAGCGATTTGATGTAGGTTTCAATACCCACCCGTTTCACAGTGTTGTTGATGAACCGACTGTAGCGCTTTCTAGTGATGCTTCCTTTTTCACCAAACATTGTCTTGTTTGTATTCCATAGTTGAATAGGCACAAAATTCCGACGATCTAGATTGTGTTCCTTGATGCTTTGAGGCTGATAATGAATTTCCCAAACTGCAAGTTTCTTACCTGCTCCTTCCTCAAGAGAAGATACGGCGGCGGTGGAGATTGGTGGCATGATAGATGGTTTTAAAAGTGATTTGTTGGAACCGTCCTTCTCGATTTTGAGAGCATTATTGTTAGAATAAAGCAAAATGTGCTCTATCGTGAGTGCCTTTAGCGCTCAGAACAAACTCTCTGCAATCTAAATTCGTAATCGACTGTACAACACTTTCACGACAATAGTTCTCCTGTGTCTAGGT